AACAATACTTCTGACTGCAGTTCAATTAATCACTATCTACACACACATTACCTTACCGTCACGTTGTCACCCTCTTTTATATACCAGACTACCCTATATCTAGTAAATACTAGAGCATTCGCCAAGGTACGGGATAGTTCTAGAAAATAGGTGGCGTCACACCAGTCACGTGACCTCGATGACGCAACAATATGTATATATTAATAGGCGTGTTAATTCTGCCAGTGAAATTTAATAAATTTATAAACAAATACATAGCTGTGTATAAATGTATGTCTATATATACAGTACATCCACGTATTCATATAAATATATATATACAAAGATTTCGAAATTTATGTATATAAGCATTGTTTACATTATACACATCTTTAGTACTTTAAATAAAAATATACGAGAAAGTGGGAGGCTGAAATAATAAATTTAGGTACTGTACCACAAGAGAGCGCTACAAATTTACACGTCAGTGGTTTGATGACAAAAATATAAATGTTTTAATACAATTTTTGAAATTTATTATTTTAAAGCATTTTTTTATAATCTAAATTATCAAAAGTTCACAGATTATAATTGAAATATTTAGTTACACGTAATAACGTATAAATAGTGGAGAAACGCCTGAATGAGTTTCATAACGGTGGCTCAACTTGTCGAGTTTGTATGTGTCGTACTGTTATAAAAAGTAGAATCAAGTCGGTTAGTGTATCCACGTGTACATTTACGTAACCCGATTATTTTAAGGATGACTTATGTAACAACGCTCTATGTGTTATTATTTGTCGTATATTTCTTTGAAAGTAATTTTGTAGTTTGCCATACACATGATCATGATGTTCCAGGACATTCGCATACCCACAGTGAAGAAGCACCATCATTCAAATATTCTCGGCAAGCTAATGAACCTAACCCTATTTCGCATATGAATGCCAATCAACATATACATGAAGATCATCATGGCCATAAACATAGTCATCATCATCATCATGTAAATAAAGAAAATGTATATGCTACATTGGATAAAGAAACAAAAGAATGGCATATTGAAACTAAAAGCTCACCGCAATTGAAGTTGGAGCCAAAACACACTGCAAAATTATGGTTTGAAGCTATTGGTTCAACTTTCTTAATAAGTGTTGCACCATTTTTAATTCTTATTTTTATCCCAGTGGATAATAGTGTTGAACATAAACCTTTATTGAAGATTCTTTTAAGCTTTGCATCAGGTGGATTACTTGGAGATGCATTTTTACATCTTATTCCACATGCTTTGATGCCACATGACTACAGTGTAAGTTCTAGTGGAGAAAGCCATTTCCACAGTCATGGGTCTTCTGACACGAACTTGGGATCAGAGACACACAGCCATGACTTGAGTGTTGGTTTGTGGGTCTTGGCAGGAATCGTGGCATTCCTTATGGTTGAGAAGTTTGTTCGTATTGTGAAGGGTGGTCATACTCATAGCCATAGTATCATTAATAAAGAAACTTTACATAGCCACAAAGAAATAGAATGTAATGATATGGATAAAAAAAAAGAAGATGATGATTCAGAAAACACGAACTGTGGAGGAAATGATGATGGTTCTCTGAAACATGACCAGAAATCAAAAGAAGGAAAAATTTCAACTAATGATACAAACAAGGCTGTCTCACTTTCAGGTAAAAGTAACATCAGGCTTCAAATAAATCATGAAATATTGTAACACTAAAGGTCTGTTATTTTCTACATAATGTTCGTCAGAAAATAATAACTGTTTCTTTCAGATAAACAAGGGGAACTTTCTGATGGTGATGTGAAAGTAGCTGGTTACCTTAACCTTGCAGCTGACTTCACTCACAACTTCACTGATGGTTTAGCCATTGGAGCATCTTACTTGGCGGGAAGAAATATAGGCATCGTGACAACAATAACTATTCTTTTTCATGAAGTTCCACATGAGATAGGAGACTTTGCTATTTTGATTCAGTCTGGGTGCAGTAAAAAAAAGGTAAGATCAAGTGTAATAATTAATATCTGGACAGAACAATAATTATAATTCATCCTTCAATTTGTGGCAGTAAAGAATGTATAAGGTTCTCTTTCTGTTTTAAATATAGCTTTCATATCCATAAACTCGTAAAGAAATGTTTTAAAGAATTCCAGCCGCACGTACAACATAAGCTGGCAAACCATTCCTACATTCATAACAAACTGAATTTGTTTTCTTGTTTAAAAACAACTCTGAAAATAGTCTACCAAATCTTAAATCTAATTGCCTGAATATTGAAGTGTGTATTTCCAAAATTTTTATTCCATTATTCAGACAACCTATAGAAAGACTTTTTAAGTAACTAACAGCTTTGAACACTTTTCATGCATTACTCCTGTGTTCTAGAAAATATACTTATTCTCTCTTGCTTGCCTCATGGGTCAGTAATAACTTTAAGGGCTTTTAAACTTAAAGTTTGGAGCAGGGAGCACAGCACAGAAGGCTGTCCCTTAGCTTTGCACTTAAAGTGAAAAAACAAGCAGACAGACATCGTTTGTCTTCATGGTTTTAGACCTAAACCAGAATTAAAAGTTAACATATATGTAGTAACCTAAATGCAATTTTGCTGCAAGTTATTTGATGCAGTAGCATTTTACTGATACCTTCAATACAGCATGTGTAAATGCATATTGTACATTTTATTTTTTCAAATAGCAGGAATGTATTACTAATGAACTTCTTGATTAGCGGGCAACAAATCATAGTTTATTATCATCCCATGGAAACACCTGGGAAAATCATATTTATGGTGCATTGGTAATGAAGATATGAATTTTGTTTTACAGGTCAAAGGTACATTTACATGATTGTATTGAAATTTTGTAACATATTCTGATTCCCATTCCTATCCAGGCTAAAAATTAATATACATTATTAGTTAGTTAGATATTACTTTATTAAAATTCTTACTAAAGAACAAAAAATATTGTAACAAGTACTGTAGCTAGTTAAATCATAATCCAAGTGAAGTCTGTATTAAACAGAAGAATTAATAAATGAAATCTTGATGATAAATACATTGACTTCTATGTTTTTCACTTCTAAGTGGACAACTTTTAAGTACATGCATAACATAACCTGACAGTATTTGTCAAATGAAACCAGCCTTTTTTTTTTTTATCTTGCCAGTTTATCTTGTTTGATATATCTTCCTTCATGGTTTAAAATTAAAGATTGCATCAGTATATTTTCTAAACATTTGTAATGACATGTTTGAAATAGTGGCTAGAATAAAAGTGTGAAAAGTCAGAGTAAAGGTTTAATATGTGAATGTTGTAGCATTTTTTAGCTTAATTAAACACATTTCAAGTACTGTAGCTATTGTTGAATTTTCAAGCCTTTATGAATGTGTATAGTTTAGTATGTTGCAAAGCTGTACTAATATTAAATATGGTGGTATCATGCTAGAATGAGATAGTTTTGAAATGGTGCTGTTGAATTTGTAAGGTAGTGAGCTTTGAAGGAGACTGGAGCAGTAAATTGCATTTGTAAGGTAGTGAGCTTTGAAGGAGACTGGAGCAGTAAGTTGCATTTGTAAGGTAGTGAGCTTTGAAGGAGACTGGAGCAGTAA